TCTTCTTGCAATCCAGCTTCTCTCAATATATATATTCAGCATATAGGTTAAAAGTTCATGAAATCTTGGTAGGCTATAAATAGCTTCATGCCAAATAATATTTCTACAGCATCAGAGAGTGGAGAAAGGATGAGAGAATTGTGTCCTTGAGAAAAGCAACCACATTCTTTTGGGTGTGTTTAAAAAGGCCCTTTATTCAGTTGCTGCAAAGAGGAGGAAGCAGGAGAAGGAGCAGGAAATGCTTTAGGGTCAATTTTACATGTTGGAGCATCTTGACAAATAATGTCTTCTTGAAGCTTCTTGGGCTATAGCTCAGGAGAGATTCAGGCCTGCCAGCAATGGCTCTGCCAGCATGAAGTGATTTATGTAGGTTCTCACAAGAAGACTTCCAAATGATCAGATTACTTCCCCTTTCCTCTAACCATTGTCCTGTTTATACAATAATGTCTTTTTACTGGCTTGTAAAGTGATCTATAATCCCATACCTGTTCTTCAAGAAATAAAAGGGGCAGGGAAGCACTAGAAACTTGAAACAAAGCTAATTATCTCTCTCCATCTTGTTTCCACCAAATACCTTACAATATTGTCTGACCTTGTTTCAGCTCCATTGATTCCTTACTGCACCAATGATATTTGAAAGATGTTTCGAAGTTTACCCTTAATCATGGTCTGACCAAATCCTGTACTCTGGGACTAGTCAGAGTTTCATTTCTTTAAAAATGGATTTTCCTCTGATTTGCTCAGAAGAAAAAAACAGCATTTTGGTCCCTGAGGGGGGGGGGGGTTAAAGAAAAATCCATTGCTGGATAATACCGTTCTTAAACTCCATCAGAGTACCCAAAGAGTCCCCAATTTTTTATTTGGGAATTGTATTTAGATTTCTCTCTTATTTGTGGTCCTTGTTGAGGAAAAAAAAATGTGTTTTGTGGTAATACATTTCCATATGTGAAAATAAAATAGCTCTAATATTATTTAGAAACAATTTGAGAAAGACAGGAGAATTCTGAAGCTGGGTAGGGAGTAGGTGCTTTAACAATCTTTCTGTAGTAGCCCAAACTTTACACGCTTCCTATCTAATGTGACTGTCTACTTCAGCAGACAGAAAGTGTTATCTGCCTATGAACTGAACCTTGGGATGAAAGATGCCATGAAGATACATGTGTGCAATTTATAGAGGAATATAGGCAGTGGAAAAACATTAAGACCAACCCTTCTCCTCACATCTGCACACTGCTAATAGTAAATCTCCACCAAAGTTGCTTTTCTATAATGAAGTGTGTTTATGTGTGTGTCTGTGTGCACACACAAATGAATCCATGCTAATGCTGTAGAGTTAGACCTAAATGAAAAGCAGGTAAATATGTGATGAAATCTCTCTCCGGAAACTCCCATCCAAAGCTAGATAATTTCATTGCTGGTAAAAAAAACATAAAGGATGTGGTGTAATTTTAACTTTACTTCTGTCTGGGTTTTCAGTTTAAAAGAGGCATGTTCCTTCCAGGACACACTCTTCACAGCTCTTTTGCTCTGTGTTCCTCAGGGAATGTAGTAATTATCCATTTGCTCTCTGATGTCTATAATAAATGGACACAGCTGTGGTGAAACTGACAAGGCATTTTGTTAGTTTCACTACAGGGGAGGGCAGAGAGAGAGATGATGAAAAAAATGAGGTTGGGATGGGCTAGAAGCATGAATCATGAGTTATATCTGAGTCAAATTACAGGACAGTCTGGGTCACCATCCAGGGATTCTGGATGAACAGTGGCTTCTCCTGTGGTTGCTGAAGGAAGTGTATTTAACATGGAAAAAATAAATGGTAAATGATGGCATGTAGATTCAAAGAATTTTAAATGTCTGAGTGATGCTTAAGAAGAATGCTGTGTTCCAAAATTGCAACAAAGCATACATAGATGAACTGAGAAAGTATAACCTACCTAAGGATCTCATAGCTGTCAAGGCAATGAATAATAATTCTGAATATAAACTAGTAAAGTATTGGTGTATAACACACCAAATTTAGCTGTGATAAAAAAGAAACTAGGTAACTGATGTGGCAATATCAGGGAGGACAGAATGGAAGACAATTGGAGAACATCCTAAAGGTCTTAAAATCAAAGCTGAAAGATGATGGCATACACTGGCCATGGTGGTGCCAGACCAGAAGGCCTTGGATGACACTTCAAAAAATTGCCCATTGGCAACATTTCCATCTGTCAATGACAAAAGACACTCTACTTGGATCTGCACATATTGCATACTATACCAACACAATATAACATCATAGGTATCTGCTCAGGGTCTTTAGAATTCAAACAGCCAAGCACCTGTCACATAACCTGCCCCAGAAGTAACTATTGTCAATAATGGCCCCCCAAAAAAAGTCTGGTTAGTGCATATTGCAGTACCTGGAGACAGCAGAACAGAAGAGAAAGAACTGGAAAAAAACCAGATACAAAGACCTGCAAATAGAAGTAAAATAACTGGCAAAAGAAAGCAAAGATAGTACCTATAGTAATAGGTGCCTTGGATGCAATCCCCAAACATCTGGAGCACTACTAGAACATCATCCATACTGACAAAATTGTCATCAGTCAATGGCAAAAGGCAGCTTTTACTTGGAATAGCTTACGTCCTGTAATAATCCCTTTAACATCATTAGACAATAACACCTGTGTCACAGATTATTTTTAAACTATACCCAGTTCAAACTCAAAAGATCCACAAAAGCATTGGATCGTAGACCTGGATTTTCTATAAGGGAGATATTTTATTTTTAAAATGCTGTACATCTAAGACAGCGGTCCCCAACCTTTTGGGCACCAGGGGCCAGTTCCATGGAGAGAGGTTTTTCCACATACTGGAGGATGCATGATTTTGTGTGCTGCCTGCATCCTGCGGGTGAGGCTTTACTTGTTTGTGTGGACCGGTTGCTGGCGTGCTGCAGCCTGGTACTGGTCCACGGACCGGGAGTTGGGGACCCCTGATCTAAGATACAAAAGTGAAATATACAGATGTGTGAGTTGCTTCAGTGTCTATCATCTTACACTATATCCTATTTCTCTTACTATTGGTATTGCACAATGTTCACTATGCTATGCTATTACTTGTGCTTCTATGCTATATTATTTCTACTACCAGCATACTATTATCATAGCTACTATGCTACCATTACAAGTATACAACAGTATTTTTATGGACCCTGGTCTGTTTTTAAATCCTCCCACCTCTCTAGGATTTTCTTCTTTTGCTGTTTTCTCCTTTATTAATGGACAGCAGATAACAAATTGATACGTTTGCAACATTGGGCTGGGCTTCTTTTTCTTCTGGATCCTTCCACCTCTGTGAAGAAAACTTTTTTTATTTGGCTGCTTAAGCAGCTGCGCTGCTTTAAAAATACATCTCCACCCCACCTGTTTCAAGGTTGAGCTTTTTATAAGCAATTTTGCCATGCTGATGCTGGGGAGAAGGCTTAAATAAGAAGGAGAACAATTTTCTCTGCAGCCTGCTCTTCCAGGTCCTCAATAGGTGGATAAAAATGCCAAATCCAGACTAAATATCTGATTCTGCAAGTTACCATAATCATTTATTAAATATATATGTCACTGACACCCAGTGAATAATATCTAAGATTAACAGGACTATAATTAAACAAAGATGCCTAAAAGGAACCAGATGATCCACACTCCTCACCAGACTAATTATAGAACTCTCAAGGGGCTCTACTCTGTTGTGTTTCTCAAGGCCTCTTTCAGTTTCAAGAACCTGTGCAGTAGATTTAGCAAACTTTGAGTAGTTTAGCCTCCAACCCTATGACATTCTTCTTAGAAATGAGAGCCATTTTAAACCGACGTGCAAAAGATGATACCATTTGATATTAGATGAACTCTATGTAAATGTACAAGATAACTTCCATGTCACAGTTTTAGTTTGGGGAAATGAAAGACTTTTTAAAAAACACCTGCTAGTGGGATGACTCTATCTGATATGATTCAAAGTTTTCACAATCAGATTGGCATCCAATACAGTAGTATCAGCCAAATCTCTATAGTGACATTTAGAAATTTTATAGCCCTTGGCTGCAAAGAGAAAAAACAAAATCCACAGTTTATGCTGGCTTAATAAATGTATTATTGAGCTTACCTGGACTTGGTTTCTTACCTAAGCAGAATTTAGGACCAGGCTGCAAGAAGACATGTGGAATAAAGCTGAATAGATTCCAAATGTATTGAAAAAAATATGAAAAGAAATTGAAGAGGCACACACAATGTAGTCTTTATGTAATTGGCCCAGTGATATTTCACTGCCATGCGAGAGAATTACTGAAGCACTCTGTCATGCAGGAGTTTCAGCTATCTGAGGAGATTCAGTATCTACCATAGCAGTGTGCAATGGTGCTTGCATTCCCTTTTAATTATGGAGAAGGTGTACATGTTTCTTTCAATCTGTGCTGGTTCCTGAAAGACCTCATTATGACTGTCCCAAGGTCTTTCTTCTTTAACAAAGAATATTTACTGAAATCTTTCCTTGTCTATACAGGCTATAGTCAAACCATTGCAATGATGTCCTAGTGTGCACATTTGTGTGGATGTAATTTTTATTAAATGAATTTTAACAAGATAAAAATACTAATTTTAGAGAAGAAATAAAGGAAAACAATGAACAGATAAAGAAAAAAAGATTATAAAGAGCTGCCTTCTAACATTAACAGTGGTTATAAATGAATTTATATTTTACCCTCTTTTTCTTAAGGTTACATCATAATTTCCTTCTTTCCAATCACACTTTTTCTAATCACAAGTTCATTTTTTTCTTTCTTCAGCAAAAAGTCCATAGGGGGTTTCCAATCATTAATAAATGTGGTTATTGTTCTTTTGCTATAATCAAACATGTCAATGTGGCATTATCTGTTAATTCTACATCTTTACCAACCATTCCTCCATTGTGGATGTTTTATTTTTGTGCATATAATAGCCTTGCAGCAGTTATCATGTACAACTGGGTTTTTTTTTTTTTAAAAAAAAGCATGGGGCCCAAAGGTTGCAAAGGCCCTCTTTACTCAAGAGTAGTACCACTCTTGATAATTTTAGTATCATAAAGAGATAGAAGCCATCTCAGCTGTAGGCCTCCAGCTATGGAAAAACTCCCCCCCCCCCAAGATACCAGCATAGCAAGTTTTATTCATTCAAATTTTACCCAGGTATTTTACTCTGATTTTTGTGCGCTTACTCTGTGGTTTTATCATGGTGGTGTGATTTTCCTGTTTTAATTACTTTATCCTTACCTCATCTGTACAATATGTTGATAACTGAAAGGTTGAGTATTTTAAAGCTGTGATAATAAATATTAAACAAGCATCAAAAGACAGTCTTTGCTTGAACCTGTAATTCTACAATGCTAAATAAAGAAGCAACCTTGCAGGAAGTCCTGTGCTGGTATGTTTTGATTCCTAGGTGTTCACAGCTTCGTCCAAATGATGCTTTAGGTCTAACCTTGGCAGAATGAGGTTGGATTCAATTAAGCTGATGCAATTTCTTTTCTCTCTCTCTCTCTCTCTTTTTTTTTTTTTTTTTGTCTTTCTGAGGATGAGCATCTTCTACTCCTCCAAATGTGGCTGAATTAAAATTCCCCTCATTCTCCCATAAATCAGGATTCATTATCACGAAAGCTGCAACATTGCCTAGTTTTGCTGCATTGGGTTCTACTGCGCTACTTATTGTTTTTGGAAGAAGCCTTGAGACAGGCAAGCCACACCAGTCTCCAAACAAATCATTAAAAGCTATAATCAAAACAGCAAGATGTTCTAGATTAGGTTTGACTGAGCTATGCTGATGCTCAACAATTGACTTTATGGGACTAGAAAAAGATACCATAGTTGAACCAAAGGGTTATGTGATGTGCAGTGTGCTGTGCAGTTAAGACGTTGGATCATGAGCAGGTTCTAGTTGACTGTAATCCATGGAAGGTCACTGGGTGATTTTAGGCCAGTCATTCTCTCTAGGCCTAACCTATCTCGGTACTGTTATGGGAAAAAAAGTGGAACAGGGAGGGCTATTGTGCACTACTTTAAACTCCTGAAGCAATTTTTTTTTTTAAATGAAGCACATTGATAAATGTTCCAGTACTCTAAACAGATTAGCAGTTCAGGAAGTAGCAGTACAATATTTGACTAAACACTTTAATCTTGAAAGCTAAGCGGGACCGGATTTGCCAAACAATTGGATAGGAGACTGCCAGGGAATATTAAGGCTTATGCTGGATTAGAAGTCAAAAGACTTCCTGGAAGACAGTAAAGCCAAATGGATCCATAATGTTGCCAAGAAAGATACCTTGGTGCACTCATCATGCTTTTACCTTTACCTTGAACAGACAGGTAAAATTGACCTGATATTAACCAATCACCTTAACTCCAGGTTTCTACTCATCGGAATCAATTGTAATCTGTTAACATTTTCATCAAGGAACTCTCTTCTAATTCATTAAAACATTCTGTGTTTTGGAGCTTTTAAGAATAATACTCATGGGAAAGTACTATGTTATCTTTCTTGCCTCCTTCGCCAGGAACATTCTGACGAAGATATTATTTCTGTGAAATAGTCAAAATGTTAAACTAGCCAGGCTATGGGGTTGCGGACAGAGTCTCTTAGGTCTGCAGTTCCAAAACAGAGATGGGAAAGAAAGGCAATTGTGATTGTATGTGGAACTTATCAAAGCTTCCTCTCAAATGGACTTGGATCAAGAAACCTGACTCCCTTCTTTGGGGGGAGAGAAAGGCTGGCCTGGAGGCCTTTGGGAAGGTTTTCTTGAACTCTTGTTTAATTGTACACCACAGTAGTTCATCAGGATTGTTGATGCTAGCCAGACCCCCTTCTAGCGGTACTTCAGAAGATTGAGTGATGGCACTGAGGAAATTATACTGCAGAGCAATATGCTGACTGGGTGTTGCTAATTAGAGATAATTTTAATTCACTGTCTTCTCCAAGTGAATTAGTGCACGACAATGAGAAAGCTTTCACTGCTGTTCGAAATTATTACTTTTTTTTAAAAGAAAACAATGTGTGCATCACATCATATGCCAACATTGTGGGGGTCTGAGGATGCTTTCATAAGAAACTAACACCAATAGAATTATGTAGTCTAGTAAAGAGGTTCTTAGATTATGGGAAGACTTTTAAAAGACATTACTCAGTTGTTTCATAGATTAGCACTGGAAGTTATATTTCCCCTCCTTTATTCAAATTCAGATATCAGCCGAAAGGTAAAGGTTGGGGTTTGGGTATTTGGTTTCTTCCAACTGACAATTGTATTTGCTCCTGTCTGCTGGTTCCTCAAAATTTCAGAGGCTGTTATAGTAGAAATGGATATTGTCCTGCTAAAGAAAACTTCCTCTTCTTATTCTTTGGGTGACAAAGTATTAGTTACTAGAGAACTGTTGCGTTTAAGCTGCTTTTGCAAGAACTTGTAAGAAAAAGACCCACCTCTACTCCAGTCTTTTAATCTATCTTGTTTCATCTTATATCTCCATTTTGTGATGTCATTATTTAACCAAGCATTCCTGAACTTTGTGTAGTCCAGATACACTAAAATGCACCCCCTATCATTGTTGGCCTGCATGCATATATGTGCAAAAGGAGAGTCCCGTCTAATGAGTGTACAATGGATGTAACAAAGGACATTCTGCAGGTTCCATGTTCGATATATTTTTAAATGACATATGAAAGATTGAATTTGGGGGCATAAACTTGGGACAAACACCTTAATAATTAGTGCAGGATAAGAGGACCATACTGTGTATCTGTGCAAATAAAAAGGATCTGGGGTGCCTTGATGAATCACAAGTGAACATCAGTAACAATGAGATGCAACTGCAAAAAAAAGTAAACTGACTCATAGACTGCACTAACTGAAATAAGACATCAAGATCAAGAGTGGTGGGACAAGAAACAAAAGCTTTAAATGTCAATGAAGTAAAATTCAGTTGGACATCAGGAAAAAAAGCTTTGCCAACTGTTTAACAATGGATGAATAAAACATTCAACAATGCTCAACAAGAGAAACCAATTGCCTTAGGAAGTATTGGGCTCCCTTTTGTTAGAGATGTTCCAAATAGCTTCTTCTGGGAAAACTCTCCTAGTGGGTTCCTGTGCTAGGCAAGGGATTCAACTATAGAATCTCCCACATCCATTCCAACCTTTACAATCTAGAATTCTAAGAAACAAGAACATAATCCAAAAACATCTAGTTGGAAATAGGTTCCACTGAAAATAAGAGGTCTTAATTTCCCTCCTCTCCAATATACAGTACGTGAATCTTAACCTCGAAAACCTTATGCAAGTAGAGAAATGGGTGTTGCTATAAGTAGAATAATTTTCCACACTCCTTAAAAGTGGCTAAAAAAACCAGAGACAAGTATAGGATACTTGAAATTTGTCAGAATTCCTCCCTGGTTCCAAGCTGTAAGTGAATTATTGAACATCATCTTGTCTTCCTACCAGCCCCTTTTTAACATGGGGGGGGGGGGAATGGTTGTGTGGAAAGTCCAGAAGAGGGTTGGGAATGGCTGCACCCGGAGGGTCTATAGATAAAAGGCGTCTCAGTCCCTTTACTATACCTTGAACCCAGGGTGAACTTTTATTTAGCCATTAATGAGCCAAAATTAATTGTTCACAATTACATTATTTTTGTGCTGCTATTTGAAAATAATTTCAGCCAGACATGACAATATTTCTCAGAGGTCAGATGCCTGTAAAATACTGCATTTATCAGACTACTCCAAAGTCAGAATACTCTTGAGCATTACAAAATTTCTGCCCATGAGACTTGTTTGGGATATGAAGATAAAATGAACATAGTTTACCTGGAATGGACATGTGAACACAAAGAGCAATATTAAAAACATTCATCAAAAATATAAAACACAGCTATTACAAATAATTTAAAAGCATTTTCGCCCACCAAATGGTGCAGAATTGCCTATCTTATAAATAGAAAAAAGGAAATAGCAGTTTGCAAGCTGGATTTCTTGCTTGGTTAACCAGATTTTGGTTTTTTTAAAGGGTTCTTTGGTTTACAAGTGCTTTTCGGTGAAAGTTCAACTATTCAATTCAGCAGTTTCATTCAATCTGAAGAAATCTAGCAACTTCCATCATCCTTCTTTGCTTTTCTTCATTAATTTCCTGCATCAGCACAATCAAATCACAATCCAAGTTATTAAATCTTGTTTGTATTCCATGGTTATGCTCTAGAACAGGAAAAAAAGAGAGAAAATCAATGGAATAAAAGATAGCAAATATTTCTCAACAAAATAAACAATCATTTTTTTTCCTCACCAAAATCCAATACATGCCTATTGTATTTCCTTAGTTTCGGAACAGGTTGCATATAAGGCTTTCTCCTTAATTTATTTAGGGTTTAAATGAGATGACCTCTTAAAAATAGTATCAGTAAAGCAGCAGTTACTTTTCTGATCAGTTACTTACACAGTGAGTAAGAGCTATTTTCTCAGCATCATGAAGTGGTGGAAACGTATTTAGGTTTGACTGATGACTTTTACTGATCAAATTTGGCCTGCAGCTTAGAGATTCTTGATTGAGAGACTTCCCAATAGCAAAGTACTTTGGGAGTACTTTTTTCCAATCTGGTATGTTCCATTTGTGTTGGCACTCAAACTGACCAATGCATAAAAACCAATGCTGGGAATTGAGAGGTGGGGGTGGGGGGTGATGTTATGGCCTTAGGACATCTGGAAGGCATCTGACTGGAGAAGGCACTATTGTACTTGAAATTGATGAAACTCTGTGACACACCTGCTGCAAAGCACCTGAATTTCCACAGGCTTCTCAAATGACAGGGCAAGCCACATTCAGAGATACACAAAGGCACAACAAGCTTTCAGAAATAAAGGATCAAAGCATAATAGCCTACAGGGATCTCCAAAAGAACTTTCAACCCTAAGGATGATTGCTAAGATGTGTGTTTCACAATGTTCCATTAGTCTTTAATAAGCACCTTAGAACTGAATAAATGTATTTTAGAAATAAGTGTTAGGTTCTCTGTGAAACTTTATCACTTTACACTTATATCCCCTAAGAAGTCTTGCTCAAAGAGTCTATAACGTTGCTTAAATGTTAGCAGTTGGAAGATCTTTCTACCTTTGTGCACCTCCATTTTAATTGCATTATATTTTAATAAAATCAAGAAAAATGCTAAGCCAGAAGTATTTACCATAAGTAGCATTAATGGGGTTTTTAAAAAATTATCCTGCATCCCTTATTACAAGAACAATGACATCAGATCATTCTTCCTTAGTGGTTAAAGTTACAATTACTGATATAGTTTGTATCAATGAATCCCCCACTAGCACGATTGATTGGTTAAGAGGTTGATCTGTTATTGATTTAAGGTTGCTGCATTTCTGGCTACTTCTATAGATCACTTCTTCTTGTTGTTGTGCCATATCTGTTATCTGACGTTGGCGATCATGTTTTTATCAGCAGTGCACGAAAAAATGATGCTGAGTTTTGTCCAAACCAGTCCCTTAAATTTTGAAGCCACAATGTTTTTCTTCTGCCTGGACTTCGTTTGCCTTCAATCTTTTCCTGGAGGATTAAATGGAGTATGCTGTATTTTTCTGGGTGTCGCATCACATGTTCGAAATATTCTAATTTTCGTTTTAGACAGATCACTGCCTCCTAGCAAAGTTGCTAATTGCAACATTGGTGACTTCATCCTGCAGTTCCATATGCATTCCTAGAACTAGATGCTATACGTGTTGCCCATTACTCTAGTTCAGTGGTGGCGAACCTATGGCACGGGTGCCAGAGGCGGCACTCAGAGCCCTCTCTGTGGGCATGCGCGCCGTCGCCCCAGTTCTATAAAACCTGGGGTTTTATAAAACCTTTTCGCTTTAGGCCTCCACCGCCGTGTGCAAAAAAAAAAAAAAAGGTTCAATCAATCAGTCAATTTCAACTTCTCGAGGGAAAAAAAAAGATCTTGCAAAGTTGGAATTGATTGATTGAACTTTTTAGTCCCACCCAGTCTGCTGTTACCACCGCAATGGGCCACGCCCACCCAATGGGCCACACTCACCTAATGGGCCACACCCACCTGTCACCCGATGATGCATAAGAGGGTTTTGGGTTGCAGTTTGGGCACTCGGTCTCTAAAAGGTTCGCCATCACTGCTCTAGTTACTCTAAGAGACAGAAAGAGAACACATTTCCTGAAGAAGTTAGAACTACTTCAGTGGCTGCTTGTAGTCCATTTCCATCCTGCTTCCCTTGTATTAGCAAAGCATTTCCTCTCCAGGTGACCTTTAAATTTGTTAAAACTAAGGCTGTGCACCCATTACAACTGCTTAAAGCAGCATCTTTTCCTGCAAACATGCAGCCTTGGTAGAGCAGTGCAAATCTGGGGAAAGATGTAGTTGGTTTAGAAAGTTGCTAATATCAACTCCAAAGCATCCTTTTATTTTGTCTTCAGATCTGAAGCAATGCAGAGCCCTCACTATGACGACTAGGAATTTTAAACACAGTAATCTTGAAAAATTGGAAGTGCATGTATATAACACTATATTTGCACATTTCCATGTTTGTCAGAACACGGCTTGCACATGGTAAAAATGCTACTTTCAGAAGTGATTACAACAGTGGGCTATAAGGCTGCACTACAAGATCATTTTTAAAAAACAGCAGGAAGGTTACGAGCAATTCTTCCCTTGAAAAAAACACTAATACGTGATCCTGCAGCTTGGATCCTCAATGTTAAGCTAAGTTTGCCCATCATACTAAACCATGGTTTACAAACGTCAGTGGTGAAGTAAAATCAAACATGTTAATTAAATCAATCTGAAATTCTATCTCTCCAATAATTTGCTTTTTAAGTGGATTTATCATCTTACATTTGCAGAAAAGACAAACGATGTTTTTTCTTAGTTTCCTCTTTGAAGGATAGCAGTCTAAAATTCAGAGTCATCTTGCTCACAGATAAATTACTGTGTATCTCAGTTGAGGTGTGAACCGAACCAGCTTTAACACCTTATGTAAAAACAGCCACTGCGATTTGTTAACCATGATTTACCTAGCATTTTGTTCCACACTCTGTACAGAGACTAGCCCAATTCATTAGCAAACACACTAGGCTTGCAGCTCACTTGGATAACAATGTCCATTCCGTCTAGGCAAGAAGCCAGCTACGAGAAGCCCCTTTTTGCAAAGACGCCTTTCAGTTACGTTTCTTCTCTGCTCTCTTAAGGAACCGAAACACTCAACCTTCTTGACTCAAAGAAAAGCCGACGGCTGGCAAGAGAATAAAGGAGCGACGGGAGGGGGGGGGGTTTCGCATAATTGAAAAGGAATCATAATTGAAGAGGAATCAATCGTCATGCCGCCAACCTTTCGAATCTTTTCCGGACGCTCGTCCGCAGCCCTTTGGGAACCATCTACGATTCTACGTCCTCTCACCTGGGCTAGGCTGGCCCGCGGGACTGGCCGGGCGCGGGGCTCAGGGCGCCCGAGCCAAGCGCCGGTCGCGACTGCCCGCCGCCGCCTGCTCGACGGCCTCCTGCCGGCTCTTGAAGTCCTGGATGGCGCGCTTGTTCTGGAAGTCGATCAGCGCCATGGTGATGGAGGCGTTCCAGCAGCTCTCGCCCGGGCACCGAAAGTCGATCTCCTTGCGGTCCGTGGTGACGATGGTGAAGTAGACGTACTTGCCGGTGCGCTCCACGCAGTCCACCTTCTGGATGGAGCCGAAGCGCAGCTCCTTGGCGCGGGCCCTGCCGCCGCCGCCGCCGCCGCCCTCGGGCGAGAAGAGGCTCAGGCTCTCCTTGCTCAGCACCACCTGCTTCTTCTTCCACAGCTGGAAGAGGCTGTCGCTGCGCTTCTCCAGCTCGCCCTCGCGGATCACCTCCGACGCCGGCCCGCCCGACGGCCCTTTCATTCTGCCCGCGCCCGCCGCCCGCGCCCGGCCCGCTCTCACCGCTCCTGCCGCCGCAGCACCACTCGGCGAGAACGACGCCGGCTCGCCCGCTCTGTTGTGTCGGGTGCCGGTGCTGCGCGTCATGCTTACTGCGCGAAGAGCTCCCTTTATGGTCTCGGTCGGCGTCTCCACCTTCTCTTCAGCCTCTCCGCCCACGCGGTCGCCCGATTCCCTGGTGCCAGACGGGGCTCCTCCCTCCATTCTCAGACCGCGTTCTTTAACCCACGCTACGGATGGCGCCCCCTTGGGGAGATTTGGCCCGGCGAGGCGGCGGGTTAAAAAAAGGAAATGAAAGGCACTGCGAGATTTGCGATGATCGGCGCTAAAAGGAAGGACGAAAATTTGACGGAAAGATCGAATGTGAATTTCCGATTTTTTTCCTCACGAGTACGGACAACTGCCCTACAGCCTGGCAACCAAATACACGAGCTACATTTACTCAAGAGTCTTACTTTCGAGGCGAAATGAATCGAGTTACTTTTGCAGGTGCTGAAGTTATTATGGCGGCGCATTCATGCGTGCAAGAAACCATCAGTGCAATTACCAAAGGTTCGGAGTTCAGAATGCAAGATGGGAAGAGCTTTATCTTGTTATTTTTTTTATTAAGGAAGTATATAACAAAGAAACGACATTAAAGTCACACTACAACAAAAAGTTCAGAAAAGAGCAACTAACATGATCAAAGGCCTGGAGACTAAAACATATGAAGAACGGCTGCAGGACTTGGGTTTGGCTAGTTTAAAGAAAAGAAGAAATAGGGGTGATATGATAGCAGTATATGAGTGTTTGAGAGGCTGCCACAAAGAAGAAGGGGTCAACCTATTCTACAAAGCACCAAAGGGCAAGACAAGAAACAATGATTGGAAACTGATCAAAGAGAGGAACAACCTGGAATTAAGGAGAAATTTCCTAACAGTAAGGACAATTAACCAGTGGAACAGCTTGCCTCCAGAAATTGTGAGCACTCTATCACTGGAGGTTTTTAAGAAGAGACTAGACAGTCACTTGTCTGAGATAGTATAAGTTCTCCTGCTTGAGCAGGGGGTTGGACAAGAAGACCTCCAAGGTCCCTTCCAGGTTCTGTTCTATTCTATTCTATTCTATTCTATTCTATTCTACTCTACTCTACTCTACTCTACTCTACTCTACTCTACTCTATTCTCAATTAAAAAGGCCGCCAGAAGAGAAAGAACCAGAACTTTGTATCTCCTTCGACACCCAAAGTGATAAAAGGAAGTAAAGAAGAAGAGGTGTAACAAACACATAATAGATTAGTGATTGGGATGCAGGAAAGAAAGTGGATTGTAATGGGATACCCAGCTCCTGATTTATGCATAGTTCTTGGTTGATACAGAATGAACTTAGCTGGTCTTGGAGAGCTGAGCACAGTGAGCCTTGTGGGACAGGACTTGATCTGCAAAAGCCTGAGATACTGCAATTGCCTGCGTTAGACAAGGGTGATGTGAACCCAAGTGAAGAGTTCCTTCTTGCATTACACCGTAATCCAGAAGTCCAACTCACTCCCCAGCAAGAAAGGTCATTAGTTAGGTAAAATGGGCATTATTGTCCGCGTGTGGAAGCATACATTTGTCCATTCACAAAAATGTTCACATATGTTTAGGCATATATGTATAAATAGAAATGTTACATTTATTTGAAAACCCCAGTACTTGGAATTCCATTAGTTGCAGACAATAATAAGAAACGAAATAAGCAATAATAGCAGATTACAAAATAATGACAAAATAGCAGAAGTTTGTCAACTGCTAGAAACAGATGAAACAAGCATTAAGACAAAAACCACACAGGAAAAATGAATTCACTAGGTCAGGGGTAGGCAACCTTGGCTCTTTTATGACTCGTGGACTTCAACTCCCAGAATTCCTGAGCCAGCATAGCACTAGGTGATACCAGGGAGATAGCTTAGCTGCATTGGTCACAAATGCCAGATATACTTGAGAGGTAGCAAATATTTCCATTCTGTTTGAATCCTATATGAAAATGAACATCCTCCATGTCATTCACATGAGAATATCACTTTTGAATCATCTGTGAATATAACTCATTTCAATTTTTAAAATAGTTTCTCAGATGAATGAATGGCTGTTCCAAGAGACTAAGCATCTGGAGGGCAGCAAATCAGGAATGCAAGCCCTTGTATTTTGAGGGGGCCTTAATCCCAACAAAGCTTTAATATACAAAAAATAAATTCGATGTCCCTCCGTGTCTTTTAATGAAGTATTTCCATCTGGTTTAAACCATCTGCGCCTATTGCAGTCATTGCCCATGTTGTCTGTAGATGATGGGACCCGTGTCAACGTTCCTGGGATAGAAGCCATTTCTTTTCTCTAGGAAACTTGAAGCGCCTATAATTTGTTGCTCAGTAATGTTAATCAAATCATGCCTCCTTTTTTCCTCTGATATCACCCTCCAAATGCAAATTTGAATTTGCCCAAAGCATGTTCTAGATGTTACCTTGATGAAATACAAATGTGAGAAATATTAGGTAAAATGTAAACTGTGCTTCCTACTTAGGCTGAGTCACAATGGCAGTGTTCACATAATATGCTAAGCATTGCTTAGAAGGCAAAAGACTCTATTCAGACAGACGTTTCTTTGGCAGGCTTAGAAAAGTGGTTTATCCTTGCCAGCGTGTGGGATGTTTTTCCAACTTTCCAGTCTAGCCAGTAATCCTGGAATTCCCAGCTGATCTGACTTTCCTTCCAATGACTGATCTAATTTCATCTTGCTTAGCTTTTGAAACCAGCCAAACTTGATCACTTATCGATTCTGGTGCTACTAACCCATGCTTCACTGAAAGAAAAAATACATTATTGACTTGATTCATATTATATATACTAAATTATAAATTAGAATTACAGAGGCTGAATATGATGAGTGAAACCGGCCAATGTGGTTTGTGGACTTGGTGTGTGTTCATTATATGAACTTATCCATGGTGGTTTGTGAATTGTGGTTTGTGACTTTGGACAAATATCTGCATTCCATTCATTTTTAAAATATTTCAACTATTGTCTTGAATTGGGCCCGGTGCCCTTTTATACGAGGGCGATTCAGTATTTGCGAGTGTCTGTCATTGATAACCAACTGGAGGTTTATTTCCCAATTGCCCTCGTATTTGGACTGTATTTATCTAAAGGCAGGGCCCCAAGCTATTGGTGACATGAAGAGTGGCAAAGGTTATTAATGATTACTTTAAAAAAAAGGTAAACATTTGGCAACCTTCAGTAACTGGGGCTACCGGAGAACACACAACACACATACCAGAAGCTCTTGAGACAATCACTTTAGTTACTTTAGTTCTCTCCGAGGAGGCTGGGCCATTAGATGAATGGCTGTGGGAAAGCAGCAGAAGGGAAGAGTTTGTTTCCTGTTTGGCAAATCCAAAAGCTCCAGGCAAAGGAAAGAAACAAGAAGTTGCATGAGCAATACCTAGAGTGAGAGTGAGTAAATATATTTGCAGGAACATTTGTTTGCCCATATTATGCCTTACATGTGTATATTTATATGTGAGTTATCGACTCAACATAGCCATTTCCTGAATATATGCAGGCACACAGGAATGGCCTTTCCCAAAATTTTCCTGTAATAACTCCTGTTATTTTTTTGTTGATATTTTCTGAATAAGCAATTCTAAAAACAAGAAAAAATGCACCTAATTAATCAGCAATGCAAATATTTATAAACTTAATAAGTAAATAAATCTCAGGCTTCTGCACCAGCTGCAGTTGAAAGCATCACCTTTTTTTTGCAAGACTAGGAATAGCAATACATTCTCTGAATTCCTATTTGTACGGCTTTTATCTAATTTCATGAGATAAAAAACTAATGCAAAAGCTCAAGATGGAAGTGGAAATTACTCTGTTTAAATGGTGTGTCACATCAGTGATGAGAAAATCAGCAAAGCATAACAAGTCACTGTAGAACCAAACTAAAAATGTTAATTATTGATGTATTCCAAAGACCACAGAATAAAATCTGTCTGGGATTAGAAGGTCTTTCTGCTTATTAAAAGACAGGTAAAGAGGAAGCCCAGTGAACTTCTAATATGGCCAATGACTATTTAATTGTTATTCATAAAAAAATTCAAAAAAACTAGTTACATACCAAAGGTGCTTTTTCAAAAGGCAACTGGACTTTGTTTTTCCTTGAAAAACTTCCTTTGTTTTTCTGAGTCAGAACTGAAAAAGCTTCTTGGATTAGAAGCGAAACATCCTCAAGGAAAAACAAAGTCCAGTTGCCTTTTGAAAAAGCATCTTTGGGACAACCATGATCTGAATGACTGAGAATCTCCAGAGATAGTTACGTACCAGTTCATTCCAGATTAACATCAGTATGATTTTATTGGAATGACTGTATGTCAAGTCATTGTCAAATCTTAGAGCCCACGTAGATTTTCTCCATGAATGATTTTATTAGAGAACCAAATCTCCGTGCAAAAAAAATTGATGTCATATGTTATGAAGAAACCATTCTATTGTGTAATGATAAAATCCAGACATCATTTCCCAAGTGCCTCCTGAAATTAAACAAAGTGGGTATTTGTTTGATAAATCCATAAGCTGATTTCCTTCGGCTTCAGTCCTTATGAAAAAAACAAGGATTTTTGTAACATTTGGACAAAGGAAGTGGTAAATGTTTAATTATCTAGACTGTGGGAAATTCCTCTTTACTTCAGTAGAGCAGGCATTAACTAATACTGCTAAATAATGTCGTCTTGTGTACTAATATTTATCTGATTGGCATTCCTTTCCTCTAAGCAATTTTTAAATGCTTCTAAATTATTCTTACAAAACCATACAAATATTTGGGTGGTGAGAAATAAGCCGTTTCCAGTAAGTAGAAAGTTCATATTATTGATTTACAACCTAATTAATAATAAACACAGTTGCTGATGATTTTACCCTGCTTATAGTTTTACAGCTTTCAATTTATTTTTGTATTAAACTTTATTCATTGAATCACTCTGGGAATACAATTAGTGATTATAGTTATCACTATAGTGAATAGTTATAATTATTAATAAATACATACTGTACATACTAATAAAGTAATTTAGGAAGAGTTAATTAAAAAAATTTAAATTGTGCAGAAATGGATATTGACATTGGAAATGAAAAAGAAAGAAGATTCAGTGTACTTTAGAACATGGGATACCTTTTATCAATGGTTAGAGAAATGAGGTAGAGAGAAAGGAATTTAACATATATTAGTAAGTTAAATCAATTTTTAGCATACTTGACCATTTCACTGACCCAAAGCCTCCCGTCAGCTTGCAAACATTTTGCGTGGAGATGGGAATTTTCTGGGGACTGTAATCTCACGGCCTCAAGTCACACGCTATTACGGCACCCAGGTGCTTTCAGTCTCAGCGCCCAAAGAGTTTGCAAGCTGGCCGGACACTGGGAGCAATGCAATCAACTTGTGTGGCAGAGGTTGGAGAGGAAACAGCTCACTAGATCTTCCCAAGATAAGTGGCAGGATGGGGGGGGGGTTTAAGTACAGTAATTGTGGGGAGCATGAGGAATCTTAGTGGGTTGGGGAAGGCTTTGGATGGTCTTAAGCAGGTAGCCTATTCCATCACTAGCCTCCCCCCAATGGCCTTCCCCACCCTGAGATACCTCGTGCATTTAATGAGCCATGCATTTGATTAGCAAATGCTTGGGCGAAAGCAGGGGCTGATGATGTTCAAGGTATGCCATTCGCTTTTACAAATCCTCAAATTATGAATGGAATGGGCAGGCTCCATTACATTCATAACTCAAGGACTACCTGTATAGGTAGTCTGTTTCCTTTTTTTTGTTTTTTCCCCTGGGCTGCTGCAGTGCATTTGTGTTGTCTGATTAATGTAACAGCTTCTTTTGTGGGAGATTGGGCTGTTACTTTGGTAATGGAATACTTGATTAGTATGGATTATTTTTCAATAAACTTGTGTCTATTTGCTGTCATTTGAAAAAAAAAGTATAAATTTATATTGGACCTTTCCATAGCCTGCACATTCAGCAAAATGAATTAGTAGAAGTTCTCTGTTTGGTTAAACTGTTCAGATGATGAACTTCTGGCAAGGTTGTATGAACTCCATGGAAACAGACTGCATGCTCCACAGATAACAGTCTGTGTTCAATCAGGTGTAACCAAGATATAAATCATAATTAGAGCATAATATCTTACACATGTTAACACTTGCTTTTCAACCAGGCTGTGTCTGCCACATTGTAATCCCTCAAACTTTGGTGATGATGCTGATATCACAAAAACAATAGGAAAAGTCTAAAACATAGTTCTTTTACAATTGTCCAAATTTTGAGAAACATGTTCATACCATGATCTCATCCCTCCTTGGTCAGCCTAATCAGGTGTTAGAAGGGGTAAAATATGTGGCACTGAGGGCAAAAATCAAATCTTTTCTTAATGGTGGAGGATATTTGTCTTGGGCAAATAATTCTTTCTCTATTTTCTCTACCTCGCGAGGTATAGAAAAGATTTTGATGTTGCTGTGAACTCTTTGGAAAAAAGATGAGATACATTAAAAATACTTTTTGACCATACTCTTAACGTTAGGAAAAGCTAAGTTCTGTTTATACAGGTAGTCCTTGACTTACACCCACAACTGAGCCCAAAATTTCTGTTACTAAGCGAGACATTTGTGAAGTGAATTTTGAACCATTTTATGACCCGCTTTTAAGTGAATCACTGAAATTGTTAAAATAGTAACAGGGTTTTAAGTGAATCTGGCTTCCCCATTGACTTTGCTTACCAGAATGTTCCAAAAGGTGAATTGCATGACCTGGACACTGCAACCGTCATAAATATAAGTCAATTGTGATTTTTTTATCACGACCATGGGGATGCTTCAGTGGTCTTAAGTATGAAAAAAAGGCCACAAGTCACTTTTTTCAGTGTTTTTGTAACTTCAAATAGTCACTAAATGAACGTTGTAAGTTGAAGACTACCTATATTCAGTCCCTAGCTTTATTATCCAGACATATGTCCTCTGAATCTTGAAGGACACTTTCACTTTGGAGGAACATGAGGTAAAAATAGTTTGCAGCTACTGTGACAATGTGAAAGCACTCATTAGGAGAGCAGAACACTGAAAACTCCAGAAACCCTTTGGGGTCTTAATGATGTTGGGAAAGAGGTTCATTGCCTTTAGAAAAGCAAACAAGTGGATGTCTTTACTAGACATGAAGGTAGCCACCTTGAAATGGTTTCATGTGTTCTTTAAAATCAGCCATTGTTTTTGAGGCAAAGCTAAAACAAAGACTGATCATCGAAAAGCCCTTGTCCACATGAATCGTTCCACAAGGCAACCCATGAGATTGAGATCGCAGAATCTGGAACACAACACTTGGCTCTGCCCCTAAAAATGTAATGCCTTCACAACAGGGGTCACACTGTCTTTCGAAGGCAAAGGTATGTGTTGTGTTTGGTGGCAGCAGCTGCGACAAGGGTGTGAAGCAGACATGCCACCAGCATTGGGGCAGGCAGATGAGTGAATGGAGTGACAGCTGAATCCAGAGCTGCACAGGCCTGGACAGGCAGGCAGCAGCCCCACCCATCTTTTCCCACAGCAAGGGAGACAGCCTCTCTTTTTATGCAGAGAAAAAGGGTGTCAGTTTGTCACTGTTTCCTCCTCAGCTGACTCAACCAGTCGATTTGGGACGTGGGAAGCCACTGGAGTCTCCTTGTGTTCAAACAGGGTGTTCAATGTTTAAAAAGAAGAAGAAGAACCAAAATACGGTGTTCATGAAGAAACTGGATTAAGGGCAAAACGCTTTTTAATTGTGAAGATCATGGCTCCCTCCCTTGCCCGGCCAGTTCCAATATGTCATAATGAAGAGGCAGTTGCTGAGTTTAGATGGCTTTTGAAAAAAATTAATAGGAAAGAACTGCAACCTGCACCCACAGAGCAGGAGCAGGTGTTGCCTTTGCTTGGAGCCTCCAGGCTAAGGCTGGGGTGGGCTGGTAACAGCACCTGTGCAATTTCCCTCTCTGCCGTCCCAGAATGCTCTGCGGATGCAGTCATGTTGCTGCCCAAATGACAAAGAGTTGGAGCCTTGTAAAACTGTGGCTTAGGCAAATGTCAACTCGGCCACTGTATTCAAAATCAGTCTCACCGATTCTGGTGAAGTTTGCTTAGAATTACATTAAATATGGTGATGAGCGTATCTGTTACAGGTACTCCAATCTTACAATTGTAATTCAGTAATTGAACCCACAGTTTTGGTCGTAAGAAATTGTTGTTTGCTATGGGATGTTTTTTGCCAGAAGCCAGAAGGAAATGCTGGTTTCTAGAAAGAAAAAAAATCATAGTCACATGACCATAGGATCTGTCAACTACTATAAATTCAGGCCAGTTGCTGAGTGGCCAAAATGCAGTCACATGGCTGTGGGGGAGGGGAGGACAGATGTTGGACCTTTGAAGCCAGGTTGTAAACAGCTTTTGTATATCCATCATGACTTTGGACAGTCGTTAAGTGACTGCTGTAAGTTGAGGACTATTCAGTGTATTCAGTAAGGTAGCAATTTTTGCTAAAGAATTCCCTGGGAGCCAGTGATTTTAAATAGAGGAGAACAGAATGGGGTCGTGATTGAAGAAAGTCTTCACTCATCAATTCCTCCCTCCATGATAGTGGAATACAATTAGTCATAACAAAAATATGCAATATAGGCTACTGTTTGCAGACAAAGGTAGGCCATTGAAAGAAAAAAAAATTTTTTTTCTAATTATATGATCAATTATGTGCCATGTAGCTTTAGATGTTGTGGTACATAGCACATAGTACATAGAAGTAGATGTTGAGACTTTAGAAAGAGTGCAGAGAAAAGCAACAAAGATGATTGGGGGACTGGAGGCTAAAACATATGAAGAATGGTTGCAGGAACTAGTCTAATGAAAAGAAGGACTAGGGGTGACATGATAGCAGTTTTCTAATATCTGGATACGCTGGATCATGGAGAAAGCTAGGGAGTTCCAGAAAAACATCTACTTCTGCTTCATTGACTATGCAAAAGCCTTTGATTGTGTGGATCACAACAAATTGTGGCAAGTTCTTAAAGAGATGGGAGTACCAGACCATCTCATTTGTCTCCTGAGAAACCTATATGCGGGTCAAGAAGCAACAGTGAGAACCGAACACGGAACCACTGATTGGTTCAAAATTGGAAAAGGAGTCCGGCAAGGCTGTATACTGTCACCCTGCCTATTTAACTTATATGCAGAGCACATCATGAGAAAGGCAGGGCTAGATGAATCAAAAGTTGGAATTAAGATTGCCGGGAGAAATATCAACAACCTAAGATATGCAGATGATACCACTCTAATGGCAGAAAGTGAAGAGGAACTAAAGAGCCTCTTGATGCGGGTGAAGAAGGAGAGAGCAAAAGTTGGCTTGAAACTCAACATTAAGAAAACCAAAATCATGGCATCCGGCCCTCTCAATTCCTGGCAAATAGATGGGGAAGAAATGGAGGTAGTGACAGATTTTATTTTTCTGGGCTCCAAGATCACCTCAGATGGGGACTGCAGCCAAGAAATTAAAAGACACTTGCTCCTGGGGAGGAAAGCTATGGCAAATCTAAACAGCATTCTAAAAAGCAGAGACATCACCCTGCCAACAAAAGTGCGTATAGTCCAGGCCATGGTTTTCCCAGTTGCAATGTATGGCTGTGAAAGTTGGACCATAAGAAAGGCTGAGCGCAAAAGAATTGAGGCCTTTGAACTATGGTGCTGGAGAAGACTCCTGCGAGTCCCTTGGACTACAAGGCGTTCAAACCGGTCAGTCCTAGAAGAGATCAACCCCGACTGCTCTTTAGAAGGCCAGATCCTGAAGTTGAAACTCAAGTACTTTGGCCACCTAATGAGAAGGAAGGATTCACTGGAGAAGAGCCTAATGCTGGGAAAGATTGAGGGCAATAGAAGAAGGGGACGACAGAGAATGAGATGGCTGGATAGAGTCACTGAAGCAGTAGGTGTGAACTTAAATGGACTCCAGAAGATGGTAGAGGACAGGAAGACCTGGAGGAACATTGTCCATGGGGTCGCGACGGGTCGGACACGACTTCGCAATTAACAACAACAATATCTAAGGGGCTGCCACAAAGAAGAGAGGGTCAACCTATTTCCAAAGCACTTGAAGGAAGAACAAGAAACAATGGATGGAAACTAATCAAGGAGAGAATCAACACAGAATTAAAGAGAAATTTCCTAACAGTTAGAAGCAATTAATCAGTGGAACATCTTGCCTTCAAAAGCTCCATCACTGGAGGTTTTTAAGAAGAGATTAGACAGCAGTTTGTCCGAAATGGTATAGGGTCTCCTGCTTGAGTAGGGGGTTGGACTACAAGATCTCCAAGTTTCCTTCCAATTCAATTATTCTGTATTCTATTCTGTATTTTTAAGTGCCTTTAAAAAAAGAAGAAACAGGGAACTGCCAGGCTGCCAAGCAAGTACTAAAATCCAGCATCCTCTTTACTGCTGAGTACTTTTGGGGATGTAAAGTTTGAGGAAAAGACAAATATTTTCTGATAGTGAAGAGCTGAAAAGTAAAATAAGTTCAGTAGCTGCATGGCCTCAGCCAATAAATATTGCTTTGGACTCACAACGTATTTATGCCCTTGTTCAGAGCACAAAGACTTTGATTGTGAAAGTAAATTCCTGATGGGAACAAATGGGATGACTTTATGACTAACAGCTCAGTTTCAAGAATTATTGCAGTAGGTCTGCTGTAAAATTGATGTGAGTCATTCAACATATTGTGACATGGCAGGGAATGTTGCTTCTCCATTGCATAAAAACAGGATTCTGGACTATGCTAAAAGTAGCTAAACTTTTCCTTTAATGGTGCTGAGAATGGGCTATGTAATTGCTCCAACGGGGACATGTGCAGAGATCTGCATATTCTGGCTTTTGTTTGGAAATTCTGCAAGTATAATTTTGATACACTCCTTACTTGCAGGTGGGCAATCAAAGCTTCTGCAATTTGATATAATTGCTACTAAACTGTAAATTGGAATTATCAAATAATGCAGAGGGTAATTGTGTGAGTTTTCAGCCTGGTGCTTCCTTCAAGACCAAATATGTCCTTCACTTGAAAAAATCCCCCCCCCTTTGATAAAAGAGGTTCTTACTATCATTGCAAAAGCAGATTATAATACCACAACTTTGGGGGAGGGGATTGTCTCAGCCAATCACCACATGGAAGAAGCCATGGTCTATGGCTAGAAAAACTTTTCATTCAAGGGTAGGGATACTAATAAATTATATCTAATCCCAATATATTTGGTTTTCTTGTGCTGTCCTATAGGTTGCTGACCTTAATATCTGCCTTTGGCCACCCAAAGGACAAGGTGGGGCAAATGTTAACAAGTCCATGCCATCATACTCAATTGACACAACTTCCATACTTGGATCATAACATAGGCATGGTTATATCATCTCACCTATCCTGCCATTTGAGTCTCATCGCAGTTTTCTGCAGGTGCTGTTGGTCTTTTCCAACCCAACAAAGGGAAAACATGGAGAAGACTGATGTAGAATAGAATGAGAAGAAAAAGAATATTCTACCCCCAGGCTTCTATACAATAATTAAACTCATTACCATATTCTGAAACTCGTGGCTAAGTTACTTTAAAAAAATCAATTTTGCTTTCATGCATTTCTGTATGACTGGAATGTCTTATTCAGTCAGTATGCTTAGATTATAAGTATAGGCAAAGTTTGGGATAATGTGGCCATCAAAGCAGCATAGCGTTAGATGTGTCTGGATGTATCTGCCATGATGACTCTCAATCTTGACATCTCACTAAGGTTCAGGGGTTGCCACAAAGAAGAGGGAGTCAAGCTATTCTCCAAAGCACCCGAAGGGAGGACAAGAAGCAATGGATGAAAACTAATCAAGGAGAGAAGTAACCTAGAACTAGGGAGAAATTTCATGACAGTTAGAACAATTAACCAGTGGAACAACCTGCCTCCAGAAATTGTGAATTCTCCAACACTGGAAGAAGAGATTGGACAATCATTTGTCTGAAATGGTATAGATTCCTGCCTTAGCAGGGGGTTGAATTAGAAGACCTCCAAGGTCCTATTCTATTCTATTCTATTCTATTCTATTCTATTCTATTCTATTCTATTCTATTCTATTCTATTCTATTCCATTCCATTCCATTCCATTCTACATAGCATTGTCTACCAACCAACCAACTCAAAACAGCTATTGGATTGCAAATTCTTTAGAAAAATCTTTAGAGAGTTCTCAAGTGAGCAACCACCTGGCTGGACAATGTTCAGAATAAAAATCTACAACAGATGATTGACTGAGTGGCATTCCTTCATTTTGGCTCCCTAAGGTAGGGCCAGAGGTTAAACTGCAATTGAAGCAGAGGAAATAATGACTCATTAGAGATAAGAAGCCAGTATCCGCCTCTCATCAAGTTGCCTGAAGAGATAAGGAAAGGTGAGATTGGAAGTCCCCTTAACATTCCAGGCAAATGTGTTCAGAGTGACATCTTTCATTTTCAGAAGTGGTAATTGCAACTTTTCTATTTTGGTAACTGATTGGAAGCAAAATTAGACATCTTTCAAGCTGAATCTTGTTAATGGACTTTGGGGTTAAATGAACTGCCAGTGGATAGAATGAAGGAAATTCGAATCTTGACAGATGATAATGTTCCTGATAGTATTGTAGAAAAATCCTGTTTCAGGAAGGGCATGGCTGGTGTTCAAAAGCACTTATCTAAACCTTCTAAAGGTCTCTCGGTGTACTGAAGTGGCCCTGAAAAAACATATTATGTGTGAACAGAGAGCTCCACCCTTGCATACCATCAATGCCAGTGATTCTTTGCATGTGTTCATGCTGCCAATGTAGTAGCCATTTAAACATATAAGAACTCTAATTATATATTTAAGTAATTGTGATCTGCAGACACCTCATGAAAAGAACTAAGGGGCTAGAATCCTCTCCAAAAAGTATTTATTTGTGTACTTACCTGTCATTGCCTTTGATCTACCTGTGATTTACTTTTTTCACTTTTAATTCTAATAGAACAAGATGGAAGCATTTCAATCAAAATACTGATTTTCAGCCTTCTGCCCCCAATGAACCCAGAGATGTTCCAAGTAGGTAAAGATGATACCTAGCTGTACCAGTGATTGTCTTTTGAATTTATGGGAACTGTAATCCTACAGATCTGGAAGATTTATTCTCTCACTGTGTGAATAAGCTTTAAAGCACTGGGGCCTATCTATTTTTGATTGTTCAAAAATAACATTTATCCACAATATTAAATTTATTGTACATTTAAATTTATTGTAAATTTAGTGTGGTGAAACCTCCTCCCATTGGCTCAAGAGAGTCAATTTTTTTTTAATGTAGTAAGCCAGCTGAAAGCAGAGCTGAGCCACCACACTTAGCCTGCTAGTCAACCGTTCTATGGCTAATGGTGCAGTGGTAGCAAAAAAACAGGAAAAGCTGGTTCTTAAACATTTACCATCACACACTGTAACATACCCTTCTGCAGCCAAATATACAAGGCTATAACTTTATCATCATAGACCATCATCGGGTATGATGGTTACACTGATGGTGATTACAATCTAATATACATGGATTACCATTATAAGCATAAGCTAAGTTTGGGCCATCATTAAGATTTGCTGTCATGTTCTGAACCAATATAGGGAATTACCATCTGTCTCCATAGATCATATGGGGTTTCTTTATAAATATTCAGCAATGAAAGAAAGGTGTTCTGAAGATGTACCATACGATCTTTTGTCTATATGGAATCAAGGACAGAAATTTGGTCCTTAAAACCACTGAGATTAAGAATGGAGCAATTATTGGTTCGTAAATTCTGCCAAAATCGTTCCTTTTCCAGTTGTAGTTTTGTGGGGCACATTGAAAAGACAGATAACAGCCTACTATAGATTTAATGAAGACTGGTTACTCACAAAGAATCAGAGTATGTTACTAAAGGAATCCTTCACTAAAGCTGGCAAAGTGGAATAGAGTTCATCACCCCATTCCAGGTTAGAGTATTTGTCCTGGTAGCCAATATTTGCCTACTTTGCTTAGAGACTCAGGCAATACAGTTTTTGAATATATCTCTTGTTAGGTTCTTTGACTGAAGATGTCCTAGTTTGTAAGAATATAAGAAGTACCCAGCATCCTATGAAGCTCACATCCTTTATCATTGGGTTGATCAGGTAGTCACCACCAAATTTTCTATGGTTTTATATATTTAGAGTTTTTCACAGGTAAAGCACAGTTTCCTCTACCAATGAAGAATTCCCAACACCAAGGAAGAAATATAACTAATTCCTTTGTCAATAAGGAGCTATAGACTTAAAGATTGCTTTAGGGAAGTGAGAATAAATTCATGCAAGGCTAATAACATAAATCTTTATTTTAAAATGGATTCCTTAAAAATGGCAATTCATAACATAGACAACTATATGTAAAATTGCATCTTTTTATATCAAAATCTCAATATTTGCAACATAAAATTCCAGAGCAATCTCTGCAACACCCAACAACTATAAAATAGATATTTAAATGATAAATTCTTCAGTTCCACCAAACTTACCTGTTTCTTTTCTGATGAACACCTCATTAATGAACATTCTTCACCAACTGTATAATTCCTGGATATTTGCAGTCTTGATCAGCTATAAATGTAAGTCAGCTGAATTTTGATGAGCCCCAGGTAACAATTAATAGACTTTTTTTGCTGTGAGAAAAAAAAAGTTGATGACAACTTCCAAAGAGATGGTAATTCTATATCACCCTTTTATAACTAAGTCCTTTTGCATAAAGCTGTATAAGGCTGGATGATATTTTTGCATGAACAAAAGTAAGCAGCCATGTTAAGTACTTTAATATGTTTTAGTTTTTATTGTTAATGCATACATTTTAAAAAGCGTATTTGCTCTCTCTTATTCTGTGATTTTAATTAGCTAGTTGGAAGGAAAGGAATTTTAATTAATTAGTTGCAGCTGAAGTATATGTCATGAAATACTTTTTTCTGCACAATTTAAATTTTTTTTTACATCAGCGTATTCTGTTTCCAGGGGATCACTTTTTATTTTATGCCATGGGATGACATCCAAATATTCTGTTTTTGTTTCCTTTGATAAAGTTGCCTAATATTTCATAACAAATAATGGGTTTCAAAAAAGTAAAGTTTTTAATCTCTGGATTGAAACTATCATCATAATATATTTGATGCAGACTATAAATATGTCAGATATGAACTTTATTCTTTAAAATCACAGGTTTTGAATTTTGAGGTACTGGAACTGGAAACATCCTTGTTATTCCACTATATAATTATTATTTTCAAATTTTGGTAAAAATGTCTGATGGACCTTTTTAGATTTTTAAAGAAAGCTAATCCTCCATTGGTAAGATTTTGATCAATAGTTCAAATAGTTTTTTTCTAACTAATAAAAAAATCTTGGCAGAAGTGCTACCAAAACTCAGTGCTACATCTCCAGTTTCATTCTGAAATGACAAGACTGAAACAGTCTGAACCACAAATTAGACAATCACAGTGTATATTTTCATATTGTGCATATTTAGTTTCCCCCCAATAATTCATCTTTAACATGAGAGATTGACATTGATATATTAATATAGTTAAGATGTGGGTAAATATTTACTCTGTGTGTGTGTGTGTGTGTGTATGTGTGTGTGTGTGTGTGTTATGTGCATATGAATTGGGGGATGTGTAATATGTATATTCTCAATTGAACCAGTAGAGAACTTCTGTCTTTTTGAACAGGGAGCAAATATTGAAAGCAGAAAGTTGGGAGGAAAACTAGATCTAGACTGCAAAAATCCAGGTAAGTGCTAGAGGGCAGCAAAGAGACCCAGGGCACTCTCTTTGGTGCTTCCTAGCTCATCCATATATTTGCAGTCCTTTTGGGGGGGAATTGGGGGGGGGGGTTCAAGTGTGTCTTGACTCCTGGCAACAATTTTCAGAAGTGATTTGACGTTGCCTCTTCCTATGGCCAAGATAGAATTACTGGCCCAAAATCATCCAGCTGGCTTTGTGCCTAAGGCAAAGCTAGAATTCACGGTTTCCTGGCTTTTAGCCCAGTGCCTTTAACCACTATATATGGTAGCTTCATTGAAGTATCATATTATTTGGAAGCATTCTGAATTTTGGACACATTATTCTAATTAATCTTGGACTAATTGATATGGTAAAGATAGGAGACTTCAACTTTCGGGGAGGGGGGGTTACTATTCATAAGGACAAAATATGTCAAGTATCAGAGACAGTTTGTTTGTAATAACACCCATTAAATAAGAGGGACAGAAAAATGTAACTATACTACTTGTGAATGTTAAACAGGCCATAGTACTAAATGGAACTTTGAGATCGATGGGTTTTGATCAGGCCCAGCACACTTCCTATAGGGTTCTAATTGTATCTGCCAAACTCTACTGGATTATGCCCAAATATGAGGCACATAACTTAGTACAACACAATTTATATTATAGGACCTTAATCTAGGGTAGGGGAAAAGGCCAAATATTTTTTATGAGCAAGATAAGTGTGAATGCTCATGTTGACTTTGTCTTTCTCACATATAGCATGAAAGGAGTCAGTGAAGGGGAGACGAAGGAACCATTTTATACTTTTGGAGAAAGAGATTAGCGGCAGAACTACAGCAGCTATATAGCTATATACTGTAATGCTGACTGGGTTGGAAAAGTTCCTGAAGACATCTTTCACCCTATAATTTCTAAATTGAGTTTTATAAATTTTGTTGAAAACCACACCCTTCATTATGAATTGCTGGAGGATGATTCCAAAAATGGCTCTAGAGCTTCTTCCCAGTTTGTGACTTTTGGTTATTCCCAATAAATGCATTTGTCTGTTCTAATTAGTAGATATAATACACCTGCATGTATTGTTTGAGGTAAACCTACAGAAAAAAAAGTTGTATACACCTTAGGTACACCATGAATACCATTAATTATGTATTTATAATGGCATACATTATAAATCATGTAAACGGTGTGCAAGAAAGCTCTTCCAAATACTTAAGAGCAGATTGCCAACATCACAAAAAATCAGGATAGAGATAATCTCAAAACTGCTCTAATTCCACAAAATCAGCAATTTGAAAATTAAGATGCACTCCTTGTAGAAATGCCCAAGTTCTATAATAATATTCCTCATGTATTACAATTTATTAACCAAAGTCTTATAAAACTTTGAGAATTAAAATACTTATGAGAGTAAAAATGATTGGTTAAGGGCAAAACACAACAACAATACAATAAGTCAGTGGAAAATCAGGGGAAAGTGGAATATCTTTCCTGGATCAGCATACTCTCTCTCACATCTATCTACTTATTTATCTATTTATCAACATGCCTAATCTTCCTACCTATCTCCCATTCTCCCTATAAAAACCACTTTGTGAGGTGGGTTGGGCTGAGGGAGTGACTGGCTCAAAGCCCCCAGCCAGCTTCCATGTCTACGGCAGGATTAGAACTCATATCTCCTGCTTTCTAGCCCAACACCCTCACCATCACACAGACTGGCCGTCTATGGAAGGGGGGGGGGGGAATTCCTATTCCAAATGTAGTATAGAGGATATATTGATGGAGTAGGAAGGAATAACTAACGAGAAGATCACCTAGTCCTAGGTGGTTTTATGAAAAACATTCCAATGTTCAAGAATTACACTGTGTTTGACTTTGTCTTCTTTGAAATATAGCAGGCCAAAGATATATAAGCTGCGGTTCCACGTTTGCCCAGGTCTGCCCAGTAAACTGCCAATGCTTTGCTGGGAGCCCAGTATCTGCTGTAATGTAATGTAATGTAATGCCTAAGAAAATTATGTTCAGAGATATTTGGTTGCTTTAAGTGAGCTGGGTTTTGGCCATAGCAGAATTTCGGCTGAAACAATGGAAAAATATGGGGACAAGCAGGCTATGTTATAAGCATCTACTATTTTTATATGGTAGGATGCTAATCCTGAGCACAATGCATGTAATGACTGATAAGGCATTGGCTTTGATTTCCATTTTTTTGTCTTGTTAGGGTTTGTAGCTGCATGGGATAGCTGTAATACTGGCTGTAAATCCAAAAGTGCTT